AAAGACTGTTTTCCTCTCTAAGTTCAATCAGATGTCTGCACTCGCCACATATGTTCACCTTTGCAATGGAAGCTCTATCTAGTACAATCAGGCAAGATAAAGAAATAAAGGGTACCAGACTGGCTAGGAAATAAAACTGAATTTATTCACAGATAAATTCACATCTATGTAGAAAATCCAATGGAATCTACAGAAAAGTTCCTAAAACTAGTAACTGATCTTAATAGCAAGTTTACAGGGTATAATGTCAATTTATAAAAATTAATTATATTTCTATCTACTGATAAACAATTGCTTAACAGCTGCTTAATTTGTATAAACAAATTAAAGTTTTTAAAAAATCACTTACAATAGAATAGCACCAAAAAATACAAAAAACTTAAGGATAAGTTGAACAAAAGATGTGAAATATCAGTACACTGAAAAACACACACAAACACACAAAACCCCCACAAAAGCCAAGAAAAATCAAAGACCTAAACACGTGGAAACACATATCTTGTTCATGAATACTGGCTTAAGATATCAATTTTCTCCAATTGATCTATAGATTCAATGCAATTTCAATTAAAAAACCTCAGCATTTTATAGCTAATAACCATCTTATTCTAATTTGAATGAAAATGGAAATTAGAAAATCCAAAATAACTGAAAAAGAACAAAATGAGAAGGCTAACATTACCTGTTTTTAAGAATAACTTACAGTAATCAAAATAGTGTGGCAATGCTGTCAAAACAGACTAACAGATCCCCACTGAATGGGAGAACATCTATACATATAAAAGCCTAAGCGACCGTTGGACCGGTAACTATGGCGCGCACTGACCACCAAGGGGCAGGTGCTGAACACATAGGCATGGAAACATGGAACAGACTGATGAATCTCAGAGGGAAGCAGGGAGGGGGGAGGCCGGGAAGAGATTAAAGATCTTATATGCATACTAGAGGCCCCATGCACAGATCTGTGCACCGGTGGGGTCCCTCAGCCTGGCCTGCGGAGATCGGGCCAAAACCAGCTCTCCGATATCCCCCGAGGGGTCCCAGATTGTGAGAGGGCACAGGCCAGGCCAAGGGACCCCACCAGTGCACAATTCCGTGCACTGGGCCTCTAGTATTTGATAATGAGACATGTGGTAAGGGGTTACTTTCCAAAATATATATAAGGAACTTATACAACTCAACACAAGAAAGACAAACAACCCAATTAAAAAATGGGCAAAGAACCTGAATAGATACTTCTCCAAAGAGTACATACAGATGGCCAACAGACATATGAAAAAATGCTCAACATCACTAATCAGCAGAGAGATACAAATTAAAAGCACAATGAGATATCACCTCACACCTGTCAGAATGGCTATCATCAATAAATCAACAAACAACAAGTGCTGGTGAGAAAAGGGAACCTTCTGCACATTTGGTGGGAATGTAGACTGGTGCAGCCACTGTGGAAAAGTATGGACTTTCCTCAAAAAATTCAAAATGGAAACTGCCTTTTGACCCAGCGATCCTACTTTTGGGAATATATCCTAAAAACCTGAAACACTACTTTGAAAAAATAGATGCATTACTATATTCATAGCAGCATTATTTACAATAGCCAAGATCTGGAAACAGCCCAAGTGCCCATCAGTGAATAAAAAAAGCTATGGTACATTTACACAATGGACTACTACTTGGTAGTAAAAAAAAAAAAAAAAGGAAATCTTACCTTTTGCAACAGCATGGATGGACCTGGAGATTATTATGCTAAGTGAAATAAGCCAGTCAGAGAAAAACAAATAACATATGATCTCACTTACATGTGGAATCTAATGAAATAAACTGATGAACAAAATAGAAACAGAGGCATGGATACATGGAACAGAATGACAGCTGTCAGAGGAAAGGGAGGTTGGGGAACTAGATGAAAGAAGGTGAAGAAATTAACCAAAAAACTTATATGCATAACGCCCAGGAACAGAAAACAGTATGATGATAGCAAAGAAAGGGGAAAATGAGGACTGAGAGAGACTTTGCTTGGGGTGATGTGCAGGTGATGTTTTACTGAGTTGTACACTTTAAACCTCCATGGTTTTGCAAACCCATGTCACCCCAATAAATTCAATAAAAAGAAAATATGGCAATGGTTTCCACAGCTCTAGACTGATATCAAACCTTATAAAGTTGTACACTTTTAGTATTTTCTACTTTAATAAAATCGAGAGACAGAGATAAACCCACAAATGTGTAAACAGATGATTCTGACAATGGCACAAAGGCAGTGCAATGGAGAAAGGAGAGTCTTTCCAGCAAATTTCTACATGTGGGGGAAAAAAGAACTTTGCTCCACACTTCACAACATATTCAAAAATTAACTTGAAATTGTAACAGGCCTAAAAAATGCAAAAATTAAAACCATACAAATAAGATTTCTTAGGTGCAACACCAAAAGCAAGATCCATAAAAGAAAAAACAAATTATACACTGGACTATATTTTTTAAAAATGATAGTCCAATTATACATTGGACTATATAAAAAAACTGTATATTTCTATTGAAACCATCAAGAGAACAGAAAGACACAGATTGAGAGAATATATTTGCAAATCACGTATCTGATAAGGACTTGTGTCCAAAACATATAAGGAACTCTCAAAACATATTACTAAAGCAGCCACTAAGAATGGGCAAAAGACTTGAACAGACCCCCTTCACTAAAAAATACATGTATATGAAAAGATGCTTGACACCACTGGTCATTAGGGAAATACAAATTAAAAACACAGTAAGACTCCATTACGTACCTTTTAGAATGGCTAAAATTAAAACGACTGACCATTATCGGTGTTGGTGTGGGTATGGGGCAGCTAGGTCTCTGATCCACTGCTGATGGGGACACAAAGGGAGCCACTATGTGACACAACTTCACCATTTCTTAAGCAGATTAGCATATGCCTACAAGATGATTGTCTATTCCGTATCTATGAATTTATCCAAGAGAAACAGATAGGTGTCCATACAAAGTCTTGCTTATAAATGTGCACGGCAGTTTTATTTGGAAACAAACCAAGTATTCATCAATAGATGAATGGAAAAACATACTGGAATACTACTCAGCAACAAAAAGGAACAACCTGTGAATGTTACAACATGAATGAACCTCAAAATTTATAAGCCAACTAAAAGAAGTAGTGATCTTGATTGTGGTGATGGTTTTATAGGTATACCATCGTATCACATTTGGGAGAGGTATCAATGAGGAATGAAGTCAGAAAATCAATTTTATAATGCAATGAATACTGTGCTATAAACTAGGAAAAATAAAACTTATAGAAAAGCTGGGATATACTTAAAATAGGTGATGTTTACTGTATATCAATTATGCTTCAAGAGGCTCTACATCCAAAAATAATGAAGAAGAGGAGAGTGCTGGGTCTGAAGACAGAACAGAAGTTGTGAAACAGCAGTCCAGAAGAATGACTTCCCTGGGCCACTGTGGGCCATGCTAAGGGTCCACTGGAAGTTTGTGATCAAGAACTTAAAGCAAAACTATACTTCTATGTAGTTTTGTTCAGCCACATGTATCTATCTGCTCAGGAATAGGCACATAATAGGTAAATTATATTTAAACAAGTTTGAAGCATTTGCTAAGTGAGCAACTATGAAGGAAGTAATGAAATGAAGGCGAAAGGCGGGTCATGGGAGATTACAGAGGTCAGTGGAAACATTCAACAAGTGCTAGCCAAATTAGCAACAGCGCAGACAAGGTCTTCAAAGGTGTGGCCCTTTAAGGCAGCGGTTCTCAACCTGTGGGTCACGACCCCTTTGACAGTCGAAAGACCCTTTCACAGGGGTCGCCTAAGACCATCCTGCATATCAGATATTTACATTACAATTCATAACAGTAGCAACATTACAGTTATGAAGTAGCAACGAAAATAATTTTATGGTTGGGTCACAACATGAGGAACCGTATTTAAAGGGCCAGAAGGTTGAGAACCACTGCTTTAAGGGCAAAAATAACCAAATATATGATGCCAAACACTTACCGTACATGGTGGTGCGTGTGTACCTCTTGTATGTAACAACATTTGGTAGTGAGAACATAACACAGAAAGGGAGGGTGTGCTTTCTCACTCATGTAACTCAAGTGTATCTCTAGACAGAGAGACTGAGCACACTTCACCTGCATCAGCTCTGCTAGCTAACTTAGGATAGTCATTCCTTCTTCTTGAGGTGCCCCTTTCAACTAACTGTCAATGAAAGTACAGCCTACCTCTTAGGTCTCTGGGGGTTATAGACTATGTCAGAAACAAACTTGGAGGTGAGTTTTGATGTCCCATAATGTAGGCACTTCTATATCTACCCATATCCAGGCACCCCAAGAAGAACTGCTCTCTTTTCCTTGTTCTTTTCTTCTTTTGAAAATAGCTTTAGCCCTAACTGGTTTGGCTCAGAGGATAGAGCGTTGGACTGTGGACTCAAGGGTCCCAGGTTCGATTCCGGTCAAGGGCATGTACCTTGGTTGCGGGCACATCCCCAGTGGGGAGTGTGCAGGAGGCAGCTGATCGATGTTTCTCTCTCATCGATGTTTCTAACTCTCTATCCCTCTCCCTTCCGCTCTGTAAAAAATCAATAAAATATATATTTAAAAAATAAAAAAGAAAATAGCTTTAAATACCTCTTTAAAAAGACCCAACTTCCTTTGGGCTTGACTCTCAATTTCACACTAATGTTCCCTATCTGTGCTCTCACACTCTGCCACATGGTAGATCTTCTGCTTCTCTCAGTCCAATGGGACTTACTTTGCAGGAAGTGCTCAGGTCTCACACTCTTTCCATGATGCCTTCCGAGACCAGAAAGCCTCATCTCTGTCCATACAGGAGTGAGTTTAAAATAGATTCAAAAGAAGCACTATCAGGCACACTGTGCAGGGAAAGATTTAAAAAGCTAAATTTCAAAAAGCAACATAAAAAGCCTGTACTCTATATGAAAATGAATTCATAAAGCAGCTTTACCTGTTTCGCTGTTTTCAGGCAGAGACTCATATTCAGAGTGATCCAGAGCCAAAGTATTCATGGCTGTTTGGTCCAACTCCTGTAACTCTGACAGTGCTGCATTTTCATGACTTTTGTCACCATCACCATTGGCATCCAATTCTGTATTTAGGAATTTTATCCCAAAAGATAGGGTTAGAAGAGTAACTTTCTCTTAAAACAAAACAAAAGCTTATGTATATAGTTAGTTCGATTCTTTTAAGTTGATGGTGAAAGATGGTATGGCTCTTAAGTAGTATCACAAACCAGGACACAAATTTTAATTAACAATTTCTTAAAAACAATTTAAAAGGAAACAAAGACCACGCCTGGAGGGCTTAGATGCTCCTCATGGCATTGAGCTCACCACTCACCCTCCTGGCTGTAGTTGGGACGCTGGCAGGAGGTGTCCTCCCAGGCTGCACTCACACCACTGTCTGATGCACTACCTGCCTCCAAATGTAACACAGGTGTCCCCCATACTTTTGCATTGGGGTTTAGCTCCGAAACCTTGGCTGTTGGTACCTACGAAAAATTTTGATATATGCATTTGTATCCAAATTCTAATCAAATGCAATTATACTTAATCAGAATTAAAATGCAGAAAATTTATGCTAAAAAGGGCTGAGCCTATGTACACATACTTTAGGGGTGAAATCAAGGGCAACAGTAACAAAAGTGGGTGCATTCAGAACTCAATTTCTCATTAGAATCTAAATTCCTACTGAATACAAGGCTCTCTAGAGACAGTAACTGATAAATAACTATGAATCCAATTATCATCAATGCTCTAGACTACCCAACAAAATTTGCAGAATTGCAAATCTGAATAGAACATAGATAGATAAAATTTGAAAATAAACCTCAAACACTCATATAAGCAAAGGATGTAGAAAATGAAAGTTCTTCCAGAAAAAAAGGTCTCTAACAGCTCTGTCAGAGGGGTGCTTGATGGGGCACTTCTGGGTCCATGCTCACTTCAGGATCACTGGCCTCTTGCTGTCCAGGCAGACCAGACGCTTCTGCTCCATTTGTCCCAGGTACTCACACTATCCCAAGTACTCACATGCTACCACCTTCACCTTCTTTAGGGACTGGGGAGGTCTTTTCCGGTGAACCTTATTAAACTAACAACCACCCCAACTTTTCTTCTGCTCACCTGAGCGGCTCCACGAGTCTAAAGAAAAGTTAGTCAAAAATGCTGCTCAAAAAATAAAATGCTGCTCCTCAAATTAACTCCAGTTCTGCTGCCATAATCTTTCAGTAAACCCAGCCAAATTATTCACCTTTTTCCAGGTACTAGAGCCTTGACCCCACTGTACAGGGGTCAGAGCATCTGAAGGAAGGGACCAGAGTCCTGGTCCCAGGAGCCCTTGAGCAATGCCAAGCAGGAGCCCTGAGTTTGGTGTCGTCTCATTGCATTAACCCAGAAAGGTGCACATATTGCCCGATGCTCTCCTAATGTAAACAGGGACAGGATAAGTCATCAAAGAAACCACAAATAAATTAACAACCTTAAAAAAGACAAAATACACCAACTTACACCATACACAAAAATAAACTCAAAATCGATAAAGGACTTAAACTAAGACGGGAAACCATAAAAATATTAGAGGAATCCACAGGCAGCAAAATCTCAGACATATGCCGAAGCAGTATTTTCACCAATACAGCTCCTAGGGCAATGGAAACTAAAGAGAAAATAAACAAATGGGACTACATCAAAATGAAAAGCTTCTGCACAGCAAAAGAAACCATCAACAAAACAACAAGAAAGCCCACTGCATGGGAGAACATATTTGCCAATGTTATCACCGATAAGAATTTAATCTCCAACATTTATAGAGAACTCATACAACTTAACAAAAGGAAGATAAACAACCCAATCAAAAAATGGGCAACGAACCTAAATAGGTACTTTTCAAAAGAGGACATTCAGAAAGCCAAGAGACATATGAAAACATGCTCAAAGTCACTAATCATCTGAGAGATGCAAATCAAAACAACAATGCGGTACCATCTCACACCTGTTAGAATAGCTATCATCAACAAATGACAAGTGCAGGCGAGGATGTGGAGAAAAAGGAACCCTTGTGCAATGCTGGTGGGAATGCAGACTGGTGCAGCCACTGTGGAGAACAGTAAACTAAAAATGGAATTCCCATTTGACCCAGTGATTCCACTTCTAGGAATATATCCCAAGAAACTAGAAACACCTATCAGAAAAGATATATGCACCTCTATGTTTGAAGCAGCACAATTTACCATAGCTAAGATTTGGAAACAGCCTAAGTGCCCATCAGCAGATGAGTGGATTAAAAACTGTGGTACATATACACAATGGAATACTATGCTACAGTAAAAAAAAGAATGAATTCTTACCATTTGCAACAGCATGGATGGAACTGGAGATTATTATGCTAAGTGAAATAAGCCAGTCAGAGATAGATAAATATTACATGATCTTATTCATTTGTGGAATATAATGAACATAAACTGATGAATAAAAACAGATCAAGAGACAGAGAAAACTCGATCAGACCGTCAAACCTCAGAGGGAAGGGAGGGGAGGGTGGGGGTAAGAGGGAGAAATCAACCAAAGGACTTGTATGCATGCATATAAGCCTAACCAATGGACACAGACACCAGGGAGGTGAGGGCATGAGTGGGGGGTGGGGGGGGGGGGGTAATGAGAGGATAAGGATACATATGTAATACCTTAATCAATAAAGGAAAAAAAAGACAAAATAAATTCACTCTAGTTGGGGTGATTAAAGTTTCAAGTAAAAAACAACTACTTCTAAAATCGACAGTAGAAGCCAATGTGGTTAAAACTATCGTATCTACTTTATTCATATTCAGGAGGCAAGGCAATAAATATGTCCACAAAATAGGATGTCTCAGTGAATGCCTACCTGGAAGTTTCCTCATTGTTTAGGTATTGGTGAATAGGCAAAAAACAGGGTTCCCCTTTACCTTCAAGAAAACTAGACTCAAGCCCTGGCTGTTACACTCAGTGGTTAGAGCACCAGCCTGCGCACAGTGGAGTCACAGGTTCCATTTCCTATCAAGAGCACAAACCTGGGCCCAGCTGGCATGGCTCAGTGGCTGACTATGAACCAAGGGCATGAACCTAGGTTGCAGGTTCGATCCCCAGCCTTGGTCAGGGCATGTGTGGGAGGCAACCAATCAATGTATCTCTCTCACATTGATGTTTCTCACTCTCCTCCCTCCCCCCGCCCCTTTCTTCCACTCTCTCTAAAAATCAATGAAAAAAAATAACCTTGGGTGAGGGTTAGCAAATAATAATAAAAAATAAAAGAATACTATACTTAAGAAGTACTGAGTCTTGAATCCCTGTTTGTATATGGTGCCTACAGTTCCAGTTCATCTTGGCCTTTGCTTCTGCACAAGGTGTTTCTCTATTTGTCTCTCATCCCCTGCCCCCATGTCCCCAATAAATACTCCCCAAATGCTCAGTGAGTGCCAGGCGCAACACTAAGCCATCAGGATAGAACAATGCAGATACAACCCTCGTTGCAAAGAGCAATGCAAAAGGTACTCTGCATCTAATACACCACTACTACCTTCCTCGGCATTCACACCTGTACCATCTGCTTTTCCCCCCCTTTTAAATCATGTCTCTGTTCTCTTTCTTTTTCCTAACACTTGTATAAACCACTATTTCTAATTATAGTGGAACCTTGGTTCTTGAACCAAATTCATTATGGAAGGCTGTTCAAGAAGTGATTTGTTCGAAAACCGAATCATTTCTTTCCCATTAGAAATCATGTAAATTGAATTATTCCATTCCAGACCCCCTCTCCCAAAAATGATTCTGTTTTAACTTTTCTTATATACAGTACATTCCTAATGTACTGTTTAATCTATAAACACTTCTGAAATTTTTGGAACCACCCCCTATTAGCCTTATATGAATTTTTCATATAGCACTGCCTCCAAAATGCTCTCACCAGCTAAATGCTTTTTGCTGATCCAATCAACAACTGTTTTCTACCTATTCAATTGCCTTGGGTTGTTGTTTTGTGAGCAATTTCACACTCTTAGCAACATTAGTACTCTTGATGGCTTCACTATGTGTTTTTTATTTTTATTTTTTAAATCTTAGCAACTCTTTAAAAAAAAATCTTTATTGTTGTAAGTATTACATATGTCTCCCATTTTTCCCCACTGACTCCTTCTAGCCTGCCCCCATTCTCCAGGCCTTCACCACCTTATTGTCTGTGTCCATGGGTTATATGCATACAAGTTCTTTGGTTGATCTCTTCCCATCCACCCAACCTCGGCCTTCCCTGAGATTTCACAGTATGTTCCATGCTTCTATGTCACCAGATCTATTCTGTTCATCAGTTTATTCTGTTCACTAGATTCCATATATGAGTGAGATCATGTGATATTTGTTTTTTCTCTGACTGGCTTATTTTGCTTAAGCATAATACTCTCCAGGTTCCTCCATGCTATCTCAAAGGATAAGCGATCCTTCTTTTTTTTTTTTTTTTTTTCTGCTGCATAGTATTCCATGGTGTAAATGTACCACAGCTTTTTTATCCACTCATCTACTGGTGGGCACTTGGGCTGTTTCCAGATCTTAACTATTGTAAATTGTGCTGCTATGAACATAGGAGTGCATACATCCTTTCTGATGGGTGTTTCTGATTTCCTAGGATATATTCTTAGAGGTGGGATGACTGGGTCAAATGAGAGTTCCATTTTTAATTTTTTGAGGAAACTCCATACTGCTTTCCATAATGGCTGCACAAGTCTGCATTCCCACCAGCAGTGTACTAGGGTTCCCTTTTCTCTACAGCCTTGCCAGCAAAATTAACACCCAGAAATCAATGGCATTTTTATACAACAATAATGAACTCATAAAGAGAAACTAAAAGAACAATCCCACTTACCATTGCAACAAAAAAATTAAGATACTTAGGAATAAACTTAACCAAAGATGTAAAAGACCTTAACTTGGAAAACTACAAGACGTTGAAGAAAAGAGGTAGAGGAAAATATAAAGTGGAAGAATATGCCATGTTCATGGATTGCTAGAATCAACATCATCAAATGTCCATACTACCCAAAATGTCAACACAATCCCTATTAAAATACCCATGGCATATTTCACAGGTCTAAAAAACTCCAAAAATTTATATGGAACCAAAAAAGACCACAAATACCCGAGCTGGTTTGGCTCAGTGGTAGAGTGTCGGCCTGCGGATTGAAGGGTCCCTGGTTTGATTCTAGTCAAGGGCATATGCCCGGGTTGTGGGCCGGATCCCAAGTAGGGGGCATTTAGGAGGCAGCCGATCAATTACTCTCATCATTGATGCTTCTATCTCTCCCTTTCTCCCCTTCATCTCTGAAATCAATAAAAATATTTTTTTTAAAAAAAAAAAACAACAAAAAAAATGAATAGCCACAGCAATCTTGAGAAAGAAGAACAAAGTTGGAGGGATCACAATACTAGGTATCATGTTATACTACAAAGCCACTATACTCAAAACAACTTGATACTGGCACAAGAACAGGCATATAGATCAATGAAATAGAACAGAGAATCCAGAAATCAACTCAAGCCATTATGCTCAATTAATATTTGACAAAGATTTGACAAAGGAGGCAAGAGAATACAATGGAGTAAAGACAGTCTCCTCAATAAATGGTGCTGGGAAAATTGGACAGATGCATGCAAAAATATAAAACTAGACCACCAACTTATACCCTATACAAGAATAAACTCAAAATGCATAAAAGACTTAAATGTAAGTTATGAAACTATAAAAATCCTAGAAGAAAACATAGGCAGTAAAAGCTTGGAAACCTCTCATAGCAATATGTTTGCCAATACATCTCCTAAAAGGGAAACAAAGGAGAAAATAAACAAATGGGAAGCTTCTGCACAGCAAAAGAAACTATCAACAAAATGAAAAGGGAGCCCACTGTATGAGAACATATTTGGCAATGATATATCTGATAAAGGAAATGATATATCTAATATATCCAAAATATATAAGGAACTCATACAACTTAACAAAAGAAAGACAAACAATCCAATAAAAAAATGAGCAAAGGACCTAAATAGACACTTCTCCAAAGTGAAAATACAGATGGCCAAGAGACATGAAAAACGCTCAAAGTTACTGATCATCAGAGAGATACAAATTAAAGCGATAATGAGGTATCACCTCACACCTGTCAGAAATGTCTACCATCAACAAATAGCTTCTCTATGTTTTTACCTTTATGTAATTTACTACTTCGTAAGCAGTAGATACTCAAATCCAAATCAACTATTAGCGACTTCATGATTTAAAGCAATTAACCAGTATTAAAAAGATACTCTAAGATGTGACAAGAATGAAAAACAGGAGACATAAGTCCTAATGGCATGATAACTAACACTAGAGAGTTGGCTAGGTGCCAGAATATTCTATGTGCTTACCTGTATATAATCATGACAAGCCTGTCAGATAGTAGTAATCACTGCCTCCATTTCAGAAATAAGAAAACCAAGAAAGAGACAGGCTATGTAACTTGCTCCCCACCCCCGCCGCCCCGAAAATGATGGTAATAACAAAAAGTGCTCTAATGTCAGCAAAAACATTTATCAAGAGTTCATTAACTTCTTGCAACTCACATGAGAAATAACTTATTAAAATTATTTCCTTGAAATGTGGTTATTCTCTTACAATTATACTAGATGCCCAGTGCACGAATTCATGCACAGGTGGGTTCAGGTGGCCCGGCTCCAATTGGGGCAGATCGGGGCCAGGCCTGTTGGGAGGAGGAGATGGCCGGAGGTTGGCCAGCTGGCCGGGACCCAATCAGGGCCAGGATGGCTCGGGGGGAGGGGCCATGGGCAATTGGCTGGCGGGCCCCGTACCTGATTGGGGTGGGGGGTCCAATTGGGGCCAGGGCAAGCCATGGTGAGGGGCTGTGGGTAGTGGGCCAGCTGGCCTCACCCCCAATTGGTATGTGGGCAGCAATAGGGGGTGGAGCTGGCTGGGGGGAGGGGCCGCAGGCTGATCAGGGTGGTGGGGGCCCATCGGGGGCAGGGCCAGTGGGGGGGAAGGGAAGGGGCTGCAGGCAGTTGGCTGGCCGGCCCCACCTCTGATCGCAGTGGGGGGACCGATCTGGGATGGGACAGGTGGGGGAAGGGGCTGCAGGAGATTAGTCAGCTGGCCCTGCCTCCTATTGGGGTGAGAGAGGCCTATCAAAGGTAGTGCTGGCTAGGGGAAGGGGCCACGGGAGGTTGGCCAGTTGGCCCCACCCCTTGATCAGGCTGGTTCACTGGCCGCAGCGGATGTCATAGCGACCAATAGTTCCGGTGGTGTGGTCACCAGCTTTTTATATAGATGGATAGAACTTCCAAATGATTATCAACAACTTGACCTGCTTGGCCACCCAAGTCTTATTTTTCCACTGAAAATCATGACTAAACAATGATCATTAGAACCAGAAATGAAGTGACCTTAAAAAACACATTTTGCCTGGCTGGGTGGCATAGTTGTTTGGAGTACCATCCAGTACACCAAAAGGTTGCAAGTTTGATTCCTAGTCTCTGAGCATGTATTTAGGCTGTGGTTCAATCCCTGTTTGAAGCACATATGGGAGGGAATCATTCACTGTTTCTCTCTCACACTGATGTTTCTCTCTCTCTCCCCCCTCCACCCCCTTCCTCTCTCTCTAAAAATCAAGATATCCTCAGGTGACAATGAAAAAAAAAGTTCTAAATCAATATTGCATAAATCACCAATATTACTCTTTGAAGAGTACAGCAGCCCCAAATTCTGATGCTCTAAAGAAATTCTTCTGCTCAGCTGGTGTGGCTCAGTGGTCGGTTGTCGACCTATGAACCAGGAGATCAATGTTCCACTCCTGGTCAGGGCACATGCCCAGGTTGTGGTTGCTGGCTCAGTCCCCAGTCAGGGGCACGCAGGAGGCAGCTGATCAATGATTCTCTCTCATCATTAATATTTTTCTCCCTCCCTCTCCTTTCCTCTCTGAAATCAATAAAAATATGTATTTTTTTAAAAAGAAACTCTTGTCCTAGCCGGTTTGGCTCAGTGGATAGAGCATCGGCCTGCAGACTGAAGGGTCCCAGGCTTGATTCTGGTTCAGGGGCACATACCTGGGTTGCATGTTGGGGGCATGCAGGAAGCAGCCAATCAATTATTCTCATCATTGATGTTTCTATCTTTCTCTCCCTCTCCATTCCTCTCTGAAATCAATAAAAATATATTTAAAAAATAAACTCTCTACCCGCCCCAAACACAATATGCCATTTAAAAAATTTACCCCAGCCCTGACTGGATAGAGCGTTGGCCTGCAGACTGAAGGGTCCCAGGTTCGATTCCGGTCAAGGGCATATACCTTGGTTGCGGGCACATCCCCAGTACGGAGTGTGCAGGAGGCAGCTGAATCGATGTTTTTCTCTCATCGATGTTTCTAACTCTCTATCCCTCTCCCTTCCTCTCTCTAAAAAAATCAATAAAATATTTTTTTTAAATAAAATAATAAAAATAAATTAAAAAATTTACCCCTAGCAATTCATAAATTTGTGATTTTTACAACATGAGATAGAATGGTCCCACTGACAAGTTACTGAGTAGAAACTAGAGTAACTAATATCAGAGGAAGGGAAAGGCAGGTGGAGAAAATACAACAGTTAAGATAAGGGGGGAAGAGATACACTTACACATTTCTTATTTCAAGTTAGCACAAACTTCCTGGATTTGTTCCTAAGTATGTTTAATAACTCAGAACAATTCACTGGCTTTAGAGTCATGAAGTCTCGTACTTCTGGTTCTTGATCTGTAACATGGACTAACAGCTGCTATTTTAAGATTATATAAAAAAAAGATATCTGTACAAACACTGTGAAAACTAGAGTTGTGAAAAGCAAAGCACTATCCTAAATATAGTATGTCAAATTAGAATGCTGTTTGGACGTATCTCATAATTGAAAAGCTAATTCAGAACATTACACATGTATCTCACTTAGAGGCAGAAGAGCAGGACAGCAACAGAACCCGTGCGCACTCTACATTGTACATTGTACCACGCACTGAAATTAGCAGCCAATTGTTAATCGTGTTTGCTCATGTAAATGATCATATGCATAGGATTAAAAGGCCTAATTTTATAGTGTTTGCCTTTACAATAATTTAAGAAATAAAACTGACTAACTTAAATGAAACTCTGGTAAAACTCCCAAATGTGGGCATGGAAAGGAAAAAAGTTAATGGATGATTCCCTAAATTATAGAATTTCTACTTATTTATTTCCATATAATAGGCACTAATTAACATTTACTCTACATCTATCTCCTTGCTATTACCAACCATTTTTCTTGCCTAATGCAACAAAAATGACTAATAAACTACTGTTTAAATAAATAAAATCTCACTATTAAAAGTATGTCCTTTCAACCATACATGTCCAAAAGGACTGCTTTAAGAGAACGCTAACTTTCCTGTTTGTGAAATATTTGCATTTATTACAGAATTTCTAGAAAGATGCCCAAATTAGCTGCCCATTGGAAAATCATCTGCGAAGGTTCTTCCAAATGAGCAGGACTTGAGTACTGTGGTCTGAAAGCTCTGTAGATGTTTCTGACAGAAAGGAGACAGCAAGATTTCAGAGTGAGTTAAAAGCAGCAAATTTTATCTGCCTTAGACAGTTACCATACAAAAAAAGTGGAAAGCACAGATTTAATTCAGGTACACACTGCAAGTAAACTTTTAGAAAGGATTTTAAACATCCAATGGTTCAAATGCTTGTTCTGCTCAGCAAGCTGGTGAGAAGAAGGTCGGGACTGGCATGTCAGCCTGCACGAGCACATGCATAAGAAGTCCACAAACATAAGATGGTCTGCACAAAGCTGCATCTGACCATCTGAGCAGTACAGGTTTAGTGCTAACAAGAGTTGACAAACACTCTGGCTAAAATACACCAAACAATAAAGTGAATTCATGGTCACCAATTTGGAAATGGTTAAATCAATGCTACATTAACTCATAGCTTCACATAAAGATTCGAACAACTGCCCATTGTTTAGAATAAATCTTTGTTAATTTCAAGTTAAGAGCAATCAAAATGAAAGATTAGTATATCACAGCACAATAAAAACTGATAAAAACACTTACTAACTGTGCACTACTATTCTGCCATCCCCAAATAACACCATCTTCTGCGACTGGTAGCTGATAATGGAGCTTTTCCATCCAAAAGGGAGTGATCTTGAAGTCCTGTGGCTGACTGTACAGGTCCCCCATAAGTATTTGTTCATCCTCTAGTTCACCTTTCACAACTGTGTTAGTCCACAGACAGCCCACCGGATATCGACAACCACCACCTGCCAGGCTTTCAGAAAACATCTGACCTGACAATCCTCCCACTGGATAATAGGAAAGTTCATTCAAAAACTGGGAATACAATTCCTCTGGGAAGCTCTGCAAATCCTCTTTTGAGGGGTTTTCAGATGTATTTATAGTGTCTTCTGAGATTAATAAAACATGGTCCCCACTACTTGGTACTACCATTTCTTTGCTGCCACCTGGTATGACAGGAACTGCCTGCAGTACATCGTGAGGAACAGCTATATGTTTGTCCACTTGGGCCGGATCCACACTAACCAAACAGGAATTGTCAGCAAGAGCGTCACATAACTCTATTTCTCCAAAATTCACCCTTGAACTTCCCACAAAACCCACTTCATCGTTTGAAGCCGGGCCTGTAACTGTGGCTCTGGCATTTCTTTGTGTGAAGTGGTGTGCAAGTCTGCTTGTCCCACATGGACCTCTGCAATAGCTGCTGTTGGAGTCACTGTCTTTCTCCCAGGAAAGTCCCTCTTCCACCTCTTCCCCTATCAGTTCTGTTTTGTGTCCTGCCACCACACCAGTATTTAAGGTATCAGAGACTTCAGTGGAAACCTGCTCCCGTCTTGGATCTCCACCACAGTTAAAAGAGCAGGTCTCCTGTGCTTCTGCCATCTGCATACCTGAACTCAGAGGTGGTACAAGATGAAGATCTTTGTGTTGGCTGTCATTCACTCTGCAGGTTTCATCACATTTTTCTATTTGAAGTATTTCAAAATCAGGGGTTTTTGTTATACTAGAACTAGCACAAGCCAATACATCCTGACCAGGCACTGTCTTGCATTTTACTGTATTTGTTTCCCAGTGGAAGATTGTTTTAGAGTCTAACTTGACATTTTCTATGTCATTTTTACTTGTCTCTCTGTGATTAGACTTTAGGGATTGTTTTTCGGTATGTTCTAGTCTGTGAGGGCCACTAACTGAACTCTTCACACATAGTTCATCTTCTGCTTTATGATTCTGGCCTGTTTCACTCTTTTTTTCTTCAGTGCAGGTGAAAATAAATGCAGAGGACATAAAGTTACTCTGAACACACCTGGGTCCACCAGGAGACTCATTGTTCTGGGGCACTTTCTGCGAACTCCTGAGGTCCTGTGTATCTGTTCTTTGACATAAGCCCTCCACGGTTTTTGCCCGCACTGCATGAGTTAAATCACAGATTTGGGCCTGGGCTATGATGGCCCCAGTATCTGCACAGAGATCTTCCTGACTCAAAGATCTTTCAAAAGCCCTCTTATCATGACCTTCATCTTCAAAAATGCTCATTTCATCCTCATCTTGATAAGACGAACTATTTTCAGGTTGCAAAGCCAATTCTCCTTTGCTTGCAAGCTGGATGCTCCCAGTTCCCAGACTGTGATCACCATGGTACTGCCCCTCTGTCATTGCTGGCCCCAGGTATTCAGGTCTGGGGTCATCACTTCTGTTAGGGGCTGCTTCTCGGAAATCAGCATGAACAAGAAGACACTCATTTCCAAAGCTCGCTGAAGTGATACATCTTTTTGATCTGTCCAATATGTTAACATCTAAATTTGAACAATCACTGTCTTTTAGAAATTTTATAAAGTTCTTTCCTCCTTCCTTTTCAGAGTTTAAACTCTGATCTACATTTGCTTTTACAGCCTGGGTTTCACCACTTTGTTCAATGCTGGAAGTGTCAATTAGATCAATACCTGAGTCACCCATCGGACTTAATAGTACTGAACTATGTCTCTCTCCTTCTTCAGGGATGGCACACATGTATTCTAGTGAGTCAGTGTCTATGTTAGTATTTGATTCAGGTATTATGACAACATTATGTAATGGATTACTTTCTGTGTAATCTGTAGGGAACCCAGTGTAAGTGTTTGCCCTTAAAGACCGAGCCTGCATGTCACCAGTGTTTCCTTTACAAGATGGGTCACTATCAGTCAAAACTTCGAGACTAGGCTCAGTTTTTTCATTAGAGACTTCCTTCACTTCACTTGGACCTAGCAGGCCATCTGGAGATAGTTCTTCCTCTAAGTCCCCTGGACCTCCAGCAGTGTTATCTGGTGGCCAGGCCTCTCTGCAAACCCCCTCAAAAGTGACAGCTGAGGGGCTCTCTTCTGTGGCAGCTGCTCCACACCTGTGCACACATGGCTCATCGTCATTGTCCAGGCTTCCAGGATCTATAACACAGATACTGTAAAACTTGCTCTCTCTTGAATTCCAGCATTGTTCATGATCCACACAAATGGGGTTTGCACCCTCGGTCTCCCTACCAGACACATCTAAAGCATTATTCTCATTACCACAACTGATGTGAACATTTACTGTGATTTCTTTTTCTACTACAGCATTTTTACACGCGACAGAGTGATAGTACAGATGGTTATTTACAAGGGCTCCTTCTTGCACACCCTGGTCAGAAGGCCCCGGGACATGTGAAAGACACTCGTCCTCTTCAGAGCCAATACTTGCAGAGAAACTCCGTGTGCTGTCAGTGTCCACATACAGAGTCTTACAGACACTCTCACAGGCCTGCTCAACAGTAGCAGTACCTGAATTCTTGTCAGTCTCATCCAAATTTTTATACCTAGCTAGGAACTTATACATTAAAGAGGTAATAGAGTTAACCGGTGGCCTCGATCTGTGTGCCCATTTGTGCCCAGACCTCACAAACATCCTTGGCCATATATCAGTCCCAGCAGCTGCCCTGCTGGCTCCATATTCAACATTGTGCAGCTCCTCACCTTCCAATGTATCAAATAATACAGATAAAGTTTTACTTATCTTGTTATCCGGGTCCTTCTCCTCCACAGATTTTTGTAACAGGCCAGTTTTTTCATTGTCATTGTCACCACTTAATTCTTTGCTGAAGCAACAACCCATGTTCAAAAGTTCAAACACATCACAACGCCTGTCGGCACTGTCTAAACTCCAAGTGCACCTCACACTAATTCTCTATGGTTTCTGACGAGAAGCCGACACCCAGACACCAAAAATAGCCCTTTGCACAACAGTCACATGTCCCCGCCACTCAAATCCAAAATCCTAATTACAACAGCCCCTGTTCCACGCACTAAAACCCAAACAACACATGGAACCCAATGACTCAGAACAGCAACAAAACTTTTCATAGTATTCTTCTTATTCTCACAAACTCAATTAAAAAGTAATTAAATTATTATACCTGCCAGAGAAAGAATTTCCAACCTCTTCTTTTTCTATAGTGTTTCAACATTCTCTGAACCATATTTCATGGAATGATGACAACCAAAGAAGTTAGCTTGTATAGTCTCCAAAGGGAAATAACAAAAATTTGCTCTTTAAAATTTATAAGTACTTATAATTATATCTAATTTTCTGAAAGAAATAACATCTGTGGGAGTTCAGAAATAACAATGCTAGGCACAAAATTAGAATGGTGTCTGTTAGAGAAACATGTTGAAGCTTTATTTAAAGAAGTAAATACATAACGTATTTTTGAAGTGTGCTTGTAGAGGGAATGAAAAGATGAAACAAAGTAACAAGACATACAGAATAGTTTTAATAGTCTTTTCTATATAAAAAATATAGTAAAACGTCTTTTTTTTTTTAAATGTATTTTATTGTTTTTTACAGAGGAAGGGAGAGGGATAGAGAATTAGAAACATTGATGAGAGAGAAACATCAATCAGCTGCCTCTTGCACACTCCCTACTGGGTATGTGCCCGCAACCAAAGTACACGCCCTTGACCGGAATCAAACCTGGGACCCTTGAGTCCGCAGGCCAATGCTCTATCCACTGAGCCAAACCAGTGAGGGCAAACGTCTTTTATTTCAAATTTGTATTTCAGGCTGTAATTTCTCTACTGAGGTCCAACCAGCCCCACCTGCCCACTTCACTGCTCACTTGAATTTCTGCCAAGTGGATTTTCCCTCCACAAACCTTTACTTCTGCAGTTTTTTCCACCCTAAAATAAATGAAACCAATTGCTCAACTATCCTTGATTTATCTTTCCCTTACCCCAACATCTACAACATCCAATCCACAGAGTTGTGTGATTCAATCTACCTCTAAAATAAATTTGCAATCCATTTACTCCAAGTCTAAGCCACCATCATTTCTCACCTTCATTGCTTAACAGTTTTATTTGGTTTCTTTGCTTCCATTCTTGACTCACTAAAACTCATTCTGTTAATGAGATCAAAATAATATTCATATATGTCACACTATTCCCCACCTAAAATCCTCCAGCTTTATTCCAAATTAATTTCATCTGCTCAGAGATGATGCAAAGAGTTGCCAGATGGCTGACAAGAGCTGGGTTTTGTTTTTGGTATTATTTTCTACTTGTTGTTTCTGCTTTTAAATGCAGTAACAGATGCCAATGAGGAAGTATCTCATCTTGAGAGTTTGGATTCTGAAGCAAGGATGCCTGGTTTCAAACCCTGGTTCTGCCATGTTTTAGCTGAGTAATCTTGGGGAAATTACTTAATCCTCTCCAAGTCTCAGTTCCTCTAGATATGATCACTTTTTGGTGCTCACTGGTTGGCTAGGCTTGTAGTTACTACTCAAAAATTTTGGGGGACAGGGAGCAGAGGGATGTATGATAAATATGATTGATATTTTGACTGGATAAATGCAAATCTGCTCTTGAATTAGTCAGACATTTATTTGGTCATCATTATGGCAATTCTCCTTTAACTCACGCTGTGTCCAACTGGGGGAAAGACTAAACCTTAAAGAGACTGGTTCCTAAATCAAACTGCTAAGCATACTCACTGTCAATCGTAACTGCAGACTACTGAGCATCAACACTCAGAGCCACGACACCAAGTAAGATGTCTACACACTTAGTGTGCCATAAGCAGTGCCAGTTAAAAAAAATGGTTAGAGCAACACCACTGATAATGGTAGGAAAAAGTGTAACAATGCAAATTTCCCCCCTACCCAAAAAACAAATGCTAAAGAAATGATGGTTTACCGACATAAAGAAAACACGGGGGGAGGGGGGGTGCAGATAATAAAAATCAATGGGAAAAATATCCTCGAGTGAGGCTTAACCACAAAAAAAAGTTCCTTCCTTTAAATAAAGTATAGTAATTTTAAAAGAAGACACTGCTTGACAAGTACAAGGGGATATATAGATGATCTCATACTATATGGGGAAAAATGAGGTGAAATGTACCGTATCTACTCATTGTATCTACTCATTGTACCGTTCTTTAAACGGTAGTCCAGTGATGCGAACCTTTTGAGCTCGGCGTGTCAGCATTTTGAAAAACCCTAACTTAACTCTGGTGCCGTGTCACATATAGAAATTTTTTGATATTTGCAACCATAGTAAAACCAAGATTTATATTTTTGACATTTATTTTATATATTTAAATGCCATTTAACAAAGAAAAATCAACCAAAAAAATGAGTTCGCGTGTCACCTCTGACACGCGTGTCATAGGTTCACCATCACTAGTGTAGTCTCTAATAAGATTTATTTTTTCTGAAATGAAGTTTTAAAGGACACACATGCGAGTCAAGATGGTCTCTTATGGTAACTTCCAGCTCAAGTATTTAACGATCCTATGAAAACCTGAAGTGTGCACCACCGTGCAAAACTGTTAAATAGTATATCCCCAATTTACAAAACCCAGTGTCAGAGATGCTATCTGCACAAGGGATACTAGGGGTACTGAGTAGCAGGGCTAGACAAAGAACTAGCCACATGATATTCTGTTATAGGCCATTAACTCTTTTTTTTAATACATTTTTTATTGAGTTCAGAGAGGAAGGGAGAGGGGAAAGAGAGATAGAAACATCAATGATGAGAATCATTGATCAGCTGCCTCCTGCACACCCCCTACTGGGGATTGAGCCTGCAACCAGAGCACATGCCCTTGATTGTAATCGAACCCAGGACCCTTCAGTCTGCAGGCTGACACATTGAGCCAAACCAGCTAGGGCAGCCATTAACACTTAAAAATAACAAAAAAATATGTGCAGGTAGTACTAATTGCAAGTTATTTCCCCACAGAAATGAAATATTGAATTCTTTTTTAGATAGGTCTTAACTCAATTCTCACCCACAAAGTAATTTACAGAAACAAAACAGACCAAAAACCCCCACAGAATCCAAAAGCTAGTTTCATGCCCAGCAACAGGTTTTAAAGACATTTGAATATTATATTAGACTGTAAAATCAACCAGAGGAAGATTTGTTGTTTAAAAAAAAAATTTTTTTGTTTTAAAACTCTCAATGATTTCTGTATCATTTCCCTCTTAGACTACCAGAGGTCTTATATTTGGATTTTAAGTTACTAAAGCTATTATAAATTTCATTTTTATTAAATCATAGCCCGAGGACATGTTTTATTGATTTTTAGAGAGAAAGGAAGGGAGGGGGGGACAGGAGAGAGAGAGAGGGAGACAGAGAGAGACAGAGAGAAAGAGAGCAACACATCAATGAGAGAAACATAGATCAGTTGCCTCCTATACATACCCTGACCAGGTATCAAACGCACAACCCAGGTATGTGCCCTGACAGGGAATCAGACCCACCACCTTTTGGTGTATGGGACAACACTCCAATCAACTGACCCACTGGGCCAGGGCTATAAAATTTAGTTTTAAAACAATCAATGTAAAATACAATATGCAAAAAAATACAATGAAATATAATTGTTTGGATCTTTTTTTAAAAAAGCCTTCCTTATTAAAAGAAGATAAACAATTCAATCCCCTCTAATTTCTACATGAACTGCTTATAATTGGGGGGAATACAGGAGGTTTACCATAAATTTTGTGAGATTACTTTTAAATTTTTACTTTTAAAAAGATTCACTTTTTCAATTTTGTGTAAGATTTATAAGATCACATACAAGATTACAAAGCTAAATCTGGAATAGCTCCAAATGCACCTGACATATGCAGACCCAAATGGTGTAAAGCAAGATTTTAAAACCAACAGCTGTACATTTCCACATTCTTTCATTACTCACAGCTAAAATGTGAACCAATTTTCTTTTTTTCCCATCACCATTTATCCCCTCTATGCCCTTTTCCACCTCCACCTACCCTCTCCGCACCCCTCCATCCCCCACTATCACAACAATGTTGACTATGTCCATGAGTTCTCTCTATTTTTTCTTTTTTTGCTCAATCCCTCCACCACACCACCACCCCAACAGAGCTGTCTGCCTGCTCTCTATTAGTCTGCCTCTACTTTGCTTGGTAGTTCAGTTTGTTCATTTAATTCCACATATGAGTGAAATCATATGGTACTGTCTTTCTCTAACTGGTTTATTTCACTTAGTCACAGGACTAGAACAAATGTTTAAAAAAGTTCTAT